GGAATACGTCATTCAAATGCCTTTTAGACTACAAAGTGCAAAGTGTCGGGTCGGAAAGTTTTCAAACAGACGTTTACTTTTGCCGCTCTGCGGCGAGGTGTTGCTAACACATCTCTTAGTATGCCATTCTGCGGTTGTCAAGCCGCTTGGAAGAGCTCAAGAAGCCTTCATATGCTCAAAATTATCATATAACACGTATGTTATATGCATATTCTAGCTGTGGCTTACGTGACCTTGGCGTCGCACTCTTGCCGCCATGATACAGAACCGCGGCGAGACGCGTTTTTCGAGTGGTTTTTTCGTTGATGGAATATAGGCTTGATACATATTATGTATAGTCTTTATTTTCAAAGCTAACGCTTCAGTTTAACGTGTTAGTGAGTTATTTACGATATGTTTTACAGTGGTTTGTCCACAAAAATGTGCGCGGGATTGCCATCTTTAAGCTTATTAATTTTATTATTATGTTTTTTCCAGGACAGCCGACTCGATTGCTGCCAGACTTGGAGATAGCAGGATATCTGAGATCTGTGGGGTGTACTGAGATAATCCTGTAGTAACAATGCGCGACATGCCTGAAATATCAAAAACATATAAGCGGGTCCGTCAATATATTTTGCGTACTTGCGGATGTGTGTCTATTCTTTATGAATGGTACACAACTCTGCACGGGAGTAGGAATCCACCACACGATAACTTGTTTACCATAATTTTATAGATTGGGAGGAAAACGATACAAACTACATAGACGCTGGGACTCCGACAGTGGCTTTTCGTGAACGGTCGCCTCTACTGCGAGAAGCCGAACTCTTGCCAAGAGCAAGTATAGCTGTACGCACCACACAATCACAACCTAGAACTTTGGAGCAGCCCCAAGTTTACGTGTAATAAGCTATGACACTGCTGTTAACCTTTAATTTGGATTCGCAATGACAATTTCAATATAAGCTGAGACATGATGTTTCCCCATGACGCAAAATTAATGAATGGCAGTAAACCCTTGTGTATAGTAGTAGCCACCTACTAAGTTTCAAATAAATTAACATTGTGCGTAGGCCTATACTAACGTTTTAACCCATACCTTATTTTATATAGCCATATTATAAATGCCTGGGCAATGTTGTTATCCAATATTTTGGGGGTTCTTGATCAAGCTATACTTATGTGTATTTCATGCTATTATTTTTCAGGCAAGAACCTCTGAAGAGATCTTGACCCGACTGCAGTCAACAAATAGACGTAGATGGCAGGCGAAACATAATAAATGTTTCACGAGAAGACGTGCTTCCTTGTGCCAAACGAGGTTTTCTGCGAAGCACTTTCAGAGATGAGACAGGTCTCAGTGTGAGGTTTTGCGGTGAAGATGGAATTGACGACGGAGGACCATCCAGAGAATTCATGCGGCTTGCTCTACGTGGAATACAGGAATCTCAAATATTTGAGGGTCCTCTCGAGGCCAGAGATTTCAGAGTCGACATTGCTCGTAAGGCTAAGATGAATTATCTGTATGTCGGTTTTTCTCTTTCTTCACGTTTCTCATTCTTTGTCCATTTCACTGTGCCTCTATTTACCCAGCAGTCCTATACGCTACACTTCAACTCCCGTCTGCCAACACACATGTATATCTTTAATTAAACTTATGACTCTTTTACAACATGTCAGAAACATAACACCGCGTTATTTTACTAGTTGAGACAAAGAAAGAATACGCATTGGCTGCAAGAATGATTGCGTATATCCTGGTTCATGGCGGTCCAGCACCCCCCCCCCCCCCCCACAAAAAATTTTTTTTTCTTGTCACAAATTCACGTACTCAATGCTGTCGGGAACCCCGCATGTGAAGCCAGCTGATATCGCAGATCCTGATCTGAGAACACATGTGCAGCAGGTATTATATATTTCGTTTTATGAGTACTTGTACTACCTTGGATACGAGATTCGTTGGCATGAATGTTTAGTGTAGTTCATTGTTATATATAACAATGGTAATGATTCACTAACATCTCATGGTATTTGACGCTCTAAAACTAATCCTCAGGACAAAAATGCTGTTTGCTACTGCGCAGGCTTTGACGATACATAATGATAAACTCTGTAGGCGAGGGGGAGAAGGGAGAAGGGGCGGCCATGGTAAAGAAGAAGGAGGGCGAGAAAGGAGAAGCGCTGGCTAAAGAAGAAGCGAGGGGGAGAAGGGAGAAAGGTGACGTGGAGGGAGCGGGAGCAACGCTGGTGAAACAAGGAGGAGGGAGAAAGCTGGTTGGAGAAGGCAGAAAGGAGAAGAAGCGAGGGCGGAGAAGTGAGCTGGTGGAGAAGGAGGGGGGAGAAGGAGCTGTGTGGCAGAAAAGGGAGGGGTGAGAAGGGAGACCGGCGGAGCCTGGTGGAGAAGGAGGATGGGGGAGACAGCTGGTTGGAGAAGCGAGGGGGAGAAGCGGAGCAAGGTGGTAAAGAAGAAGGAGGGGGAGAAGGGAGAAGGTGGTGGAGGAGGGTTGGGAGAAGCTGGAATGAAAAAAAGGAGCGACGGGGAGAGCTGGCTGCAGAAGGAGGAAGGAGAGAAGGAGGAGGGAGAAAGAAGCTGTGCAGAGTATGGAGCGGGCGAGAAGGCAGAGGTGTGGAGAAGGAGAGGCAGAGAAGCTGGTGGATGAAGGAAGAACGGCGGAGAGGAGAAGGTGCGCTGGAGGAGGGGTAGAAGCTGTGGAAAGGAGAAGGGGAGAGCGGTGAAAATGCGGCGGAAGGAGAGAAGGAGGGGAGAAGCGAGCTGCGTGGAGCGCAGCGAGGGGAGAAGAAGAAGCGGATAAGCGCAGGGCAGAAGGCGCAGCTGGTCGAAGGAAGGAGGGGGAGAAGTAGCACCAGGTGGTGCTTAAGAGGGGAGAAAGCTGTGAAAGGTCAGGAAAGGGAGAAGGGAGAAGGTGTGGCCAGAAGGCGAGGAGGGGAGAAGCTGGCCGTGAGCAAGCAGGCAGGGCGGAGAAGCCTGGTGGCAGAAGAAGGAGGGGGAGAAGGGAGCTGGTGGAGGAGGATGGCGGGAGAGCTCGGTGAGAGGAAAAAAAAAGGGCTGAGAAGCTGGTCGAAGCTTCCTCCTTCTCTACCAGCTTCTCCTTCTTTCTCCAAGCTTATCCCTTCTCCCCATGGCTCCTTCTCCAATCAGCTTCTCCTCCTCCGTCCTTCCTCCTTCTCCACATTAGCTTCTCCCCCTCCTCCTTTCCACCAGCTTCTCCCTTTCTCCCCCTCCTCCTCACCAGCTCCCTGCTCCCCCTCCTTCTCCCCTCCTCCTTTCCTGCACCAGCTTCTCCCCTCCTCCTTCTCACCAGCTTCTCCCCTCCTCCTTCTCTACACCTTCTCCCTTCCTCCCCTTCCTCCTTCTCACCAGCTTTTCCCATCCTCCACAAACCTTCTCCTTTTCCCCCTCCGCCTTCCACCAGCTCCCTTCTCCCCTCCTTCTCCCCTTCCTCCTTCTCCATCAGCTTTTCCCCTCCTTCTTCTCCACCAGCTTCTCCCCCTCCTCCACCTACCCTTTCCTCCACCAGCATCTCCCCCTCTTCCACCACCTTCTCAAAACTTCTCCCCCTCCTTCTCCAACCAGCTTCTCCCCTTTCTCCTTCCCACCACCTTCTTCCTTCTCCCCCTCCTCCTTCTCCGCAGCCTTCTCCAGTCTTCCTTTCCGTCCACCACTTCTCCGCTTCTCCCCTGCCTTCCTTCATCCACCAGCTTCTCCCCCTCCTCCTTCTCGACCAGCTTCTCTCTTCTTCCTTCTTCAATTCTCCACCAGATTCTCTCCCGGTCCTACTTCTCACACCAGCTTCGTCCCCCCTCCTTCTCCACCACTTTATCTCCCTTCTCCCTTTCCTCCTTCTCCACCAGCTATCTCCCCCATCCGTCCTTCTCACACCAGCTTCTCCCCCTCCTTCTTCTCCACTAAGCTTCTCCCTTCCTCCAACCACCTTCTCCCCGCTCTATTCTCACCACCTTCTCACCTTCTTTCTTCCCTTCCTTCCTTTCTCCCACCAGCTTCTCCCCCTCCTCCTGTCTCCCACCACTTTCTCCCTTCTCCCTTAAATCCTCCTTCTCCACCAGTTCTCCCCTTCCTCGTTCTCTACCAGCTTTCTCCCTTCTCTCCTTTCTCATTCTCCACCAGCTTCTCCCCCTGCCTCCTTCTCCACCAGCTATCTCCCCTCCTCCTTCGTTCCACCACCTTCTCCCTTCTCCCCTTCCTCATTCTCCACCAGCTTCTCCCCCTCCGTCTTCTCCACCAGCTTCTCCACTTTCTCCCCCTCCTCCTTTCACCAGCTTCTCTAACTCCTCCTTCCCACATACCCTCACCATGCTCACACTTCTGCACGTGAGGATCGCTTTGCGATACAGCTGGAAGTGAACGTCACGAATACGCCGATTAAATCTGATTTGGTAACACAAACCACGCTGACAAAATATCGAAAAATTATCTCCTGTACCGGCCTGAAATATAGACAACCATGGGGATATTCTCTGGCGGGCAACTACCCCTTGCATGGACGCCAACTACGCGCCTTGCTTTTACACGTAGTGTTCTACAGCTTCCAGAGCAGAGCGTACGTATAGCTTATCTATCGTTATAGCTTTATATACGGCCCTGTTCAGAGCAGTTCCAGATTAGTAGCCACCTACCGACCACACGAAATAGAATAGATTCATATTTATTCTATTCTAAAATAGTATATATTTATTAATTATCTTCTAGTTTCTATTTCTGTCGCTACGACGCCACCTACTGATTGAATAACCTACGTTCCTTGTGTTATACACAACCACCTAGCGGTAAATGCGGCCGGAACTATGTGAATTTATGGCGTCGTGTGAACGTAAGAACGAAACGTGATTCAATGGAACCGGCGCGGATTTCGAAATGCGTAGTTTTGAGTTGTTTAATTGTTCTTGATTGAGCGCTTTTAAAGAAATGTAAAATTTGTTAAGAAATTATGATTCGCGTCATTAGATTTGTTTTATCTTTAATTATTCTTCGTATTATCAAAATAATGATGTCTTTCTCTTTGTTTCCACTCGCTTTCTGTGTACACTGACTGTCTGTAGCTCCAAGAAAACCGGTATTATGCTAGGGCTTACGAATACTCTAAATTAATAATGTGTATGACGTAGTACACGTAGTCACTTTAGAATAAGAAGGTATATCGGCTTTCAGAGTTTGAAGTGTAGCATGGCAGGACTACTAATGACTCCCCTAAAACACCAAGGGGGACTTTCACCGCTCCATGAATCACACCTTAAGAGGCCATGATGGAAGAGCTCCCATTAAAAATCACTAGCCTGAAGAGGCATTGATGGAAGCTTCTCACTAAAAATCCACACCCCTTTAAAAGGTCTCGCCATTCTTATAAAGGTCTGCCATACGACGACAGCGGCACAGCTGCTCAATTTTAAGGGTTTTTTTGGGTTGTCCGGAGTTGTCCCTCAAGAGTTTGTGTTGTCCGGATATTATTTAAACAATGTGCTGCATGCGCCTGCTCACGTGCATGCTCAGTCTGTAAAGCAAAAAGGCCTAACATGTACATTTTGTACGTATTGCAGTGACAGCAAGACATGACCATTCGCATTTGTTTCACTCATTATATGAAGATAATAAAATATTGGTAATGTGTAAATGATGCTGGGGATCAATGACGTATAATAATATTAATAGTAATTAAAAGTTGCATAAAATTTATTTCATAGCATTTACATTAACTACTAACATTACACTACTAACATTACTAACATTACTAACACTGTTATGTGTCAAGTCACAGCATGAGCAAAAATTGAAAATTAACACGTAACATTGTGTTGTTTAAACACGTAATGTCTATCTTCTGTATACAAGCAGCCAGACAATGCGTCTAGACATTACGTTTGCAGCGATTGTGCAACCCTGGCCGTAGTAAAATGAACGCGCCATTATGAATATAACATTTTATAGATGTTGGACACCGACAACCACGAAGCAATTTGTAGTTGCCCGAGAGAAATCAGTCGTCACGGACGACCGGACGACTGTTAAAATGAGCCCTGCGAGAGGGTGTATGAAAGTTGCATTCTCATTGGCTACTGAAACTAGAGTTGGGCTAGAATAGATAACTCCAGTCAGGGCTTCGCGATCCATTGCAACATTGACAACTCTATGGACAGGGAAAACTAGCCTCAAGGCCACGCGTGACGCGGCGGCTTTTGATGTACACGATCGATCGATACACAGACTTTTGCGTGCGCGCATTGGCGATTTCAACCACTTTTATGAGGCGCGATGATGCACGCACCATGGCACAATTTATGGTGCGCGGTGGAGCGCGAGCGCGATCGCGCCCCTTAAAAATGAAAGCCTGGTATATTGACGTTAGTCACACAGCCTGGTCGGGTTATGTACACTGTACAGTGTAGGGCCTACGACCTCCAGTGAGAGGGTCTATGTCGGATAATGTCCCCCGGTGTACTGCCGAAACGTACCCTGGTTACGGTCCGGTATACCGGAACGTACCCTGGTACTATCTAATATGCCGGACCGTGCCTCGCCTACTCCACTAACGAGTCTAGGGAGTCGCCTACGCCTACTTCCTAACCCGAACCCGAACACGAACCCTAACCCTAATCCTAACCCTAACCATATCAAATAGTGACCAGGGTACGTTCCAGTATACCGGACCGTACCCAGGGTACGTTCCGGCAGTACCCTGGGGACATAGACCCTATGAGCCCTAGTACCCCTGCGGCCTACAGACGTACAGTGTACCCGCGCTCGCAGTTGGTAATTTGTGTGTCATTGACTTTGTACTACCGCCTCCTAGTACTAAGGAGTGTTATATAACCGTGAGCCACTAAAAGGCAATGTCAACTGGGTTAATGTATATAGGCATGCATTTTGCGGATGAGTTTACGGAGACAAGGCGAGGAAACTGTAGATACAATATTGTAACCCGACAACTTTGAACTAGAACAAGAGTAGGAGGTAACACTAACACTAACAGTTAAGGTACACCCCTACTCTTGTTGGGTTACATTATTGCGTTGGGAAACGGTTGCCCAAAATTTTGGGACCAGTGTCTAGTCTAGATTAGAGTAGCGTGAGACAGAGCACCGATAAAAACGGCATAAACTCAGTCAATTTAAATTACGTTCATTAAGTGTCATTACGTCCATTTAAATATTTAAGTAGTTTATTTATCAGTGAGATGTGGAATGTGGGCAGGGTTTCTTTCGGGGCCTTTAACGCTTTTTGCGTCTAACATGCCGTCATTGCGTCAAAGTTTAACCTAATTTGCGAAAGCCCATATAATTCCTCTGACATGTCTTAATTATATAACTGACATCCCTTATTTTCTAGCCTTGTTTACTTTTAACAAGTGTACTTTTGTGTGTTCAGAGCTTGATGTATACCTATCTGAACTGACTAGTGTGTGTTGGGGTCGCTTATGGTACAAGTGATTGATTCCAATTATGGATCAAGTGTGAATTGCCCCAAATTCCGTATCAACTTCATGGGGAGTAGCACACGTGGTGTGTTTTTGCGTCATGTATCAGCATTCACTTTTATCATATCGAGTATTATCTGATTTCTGCCACTGATCAACATAAAAGCTTTGTTTGAATAGACGTGTGTTGAATGCCGTTGCGTGGATTTCAGATCTCACTTAGAATTTTCTGTGAGGAAATACTGCATGCAACTGATTTAAAGCATATTTAAATCTATAATATGTCTTACCAGGTAGCTATAACCTTAACATACTATTTTGTGTGTACTTCGAGTAGCTTTAAAAAAGTGATGCAATGCTCAAAATACTTTAATATTTTTTTTATTAGATTGAAGCTAATACATCAGGGTGTGAAAGTCCGGAGTCAAATACTCCCCGATTTACTGTCGGACTCCCTGATTTGTCATATGCAGGAGTTCGTGTGACTCCATGAAAATTCTGCTATAATAACTAGTTCGTTCCAGAGCAGGGCCTTGCGGAGTTATCGTATGTTTTTTAGCAAATGTCCCAAGAAAATTTGGCAATTTCGCAAATGTTCTTTTTGACTTGCTTGCTCAAACATTAATTTCTACCCCTGATACATGGTATCAAATTTTTTACGCTCGATCTAGAGTTAATGTGATGATATGTTGTTTGATGTTTTGTGTTACACCCAGCTATATTTCTATGTGCAGCCAATCTTTTTAATATATCTCTATGCCATGGTACAGTGTACCTGAAATGTTGTTATGCAAGCAACATAGACATCATATCATTGGCTAATGAATTTACAGTCTTTGTGCTTGCAATTCTTGAACAGGGTAGTCAAGCTAAAAGGATGCAGTGGTGTGAAGAATGCAATCGAAGGGGTATAAGAAAGAGGCTGAAGTTGCACCAGTTAAACTTTAAAGAAGCCATGTGGTTGTGTGAGAACAGCCAGGTATGTATGTTTCGGTTTAATACTATTTCAATATTTTTAGGTCTTTCATATAGAAATTGTTCATTACTTACTAATGACGCTAACATAAAATAATGAATGTAAAGCAGAAAAAATTTGCATGCCATTTTGCAATGTTTCTAGCATGTTTTACATAAATTGTGTGTTTATTCAGATTTGGTTAATGTACATAATATATATAATCTTGTTTTTGCAGTGTGTTTATCCATTAAATCTGCCAAGTATGAAAGTGAAAAACTTTATTGTGAAGCAAAATTTTATGACCATCTCGAGATGTCAGAGAGCACTCGCACTGGCTCCACCCTCGTCTCTGTCCACAGATCCAGCATCTAAAGTACTAGGTGTGTATATTTTAATTGCATTATATATTTTGTTAACTCATGTGATATTTCACAGTTTCTGCCTTATGTTGCCTGGTTCATGTATACCTAAATAAATTACTGAACTTGAGCAAATTATGTATATTAGAGTGTAACTGTCACTGTTGATGCAGTAGGTTAATATGTGTTTTGGTATACGTATAATGTATTTTAGCAGTAAATGGCTGCTAAAATATTCAAAGAATTGGGAATTTGCTAAATTAATGCAAATGTGTCAGCTCCATTAGGTTATTCTATTCAGAATGTCTAGTTTTATTCGGATATTTAGTATGCACTATTTAGCAGAAACTGGGGGTGACTGCTAGTGATGATTCTACATTCTAAAAGCAATTCTGTATTTAAAAGTAACGCTTCACAGAAAGTGGGAGCAACTGTAGGAGGAGTCCGAGGAGGGTTGAAAAATGTGTCAAAGTTCCTAATGTAATTTGTTGATAGCAAAGCATATAAAATTGTTTTGTTGGTGTCACTTGAATGTGAAGGCAACATATTGATATGTCTATATAGCACCTATTAATATTAGTTAAACCATAAACCATAAAACATATATATCAACAAGGTAATTAATGCTATATATATGTGAGTCATGTGTATATATATATATATCTATATAGAATGACTTGCTTTTTATATTTATATACATGACATTAAAATAGTACGATTGACTTTTGTATCCAGCTACAATGTGTACGGAGATACCATAGCGAACATAGACAGTCCCCTGATGTACAACAATTGAGTGGCATTTTAGAACAACTTGTTTATATATTTAGTGTTGACGAGTAAATAGCATGCAACTAGCAAACATGTAATCAAGAGCGGATAATACCTAGAGTGTACAACGGAAAAACGGGAAAATAGTGCTATTTCACGACTACATTATTCTACTTTGCCTGCGAGTCTAGAATAATTTCATGGTATTGCATTAAGCAGAATTCTTTGCTCTCTAAAACAAGACGGCACCGCGATTGTCAATACGAACTCCTAGCGGAGATATCGGCTCCTAAATACTCCCCTCCCACATGCAAACGCCACCTCGAATCCACTCTGCCAGCATCCTACACGGCGGCTAAGGCGTTGCTTCGTGAAAGTTCGGTTTTTCCGCGATATAATTTATGAATGGACGGTGCTTCGTTATCATAGGTGACTATTCGGGCATCGCCTATGCCTATCTTCCATTATCTTTCCTACACGGCTAACGCCCGTCAATGATGGAGCCGGCTCCATCAAGTTTTTACAACGCAGCTCAGTTTACTAAGTGTAGTAACAGTACCAATTTGGGCATATGACATCAATTATCAGCGCTCCAAGTGTGACGGAAAACCGATAGCCAAAATGCTTACCCGCGTGTAGGATGCTGGCAGAAGTGGATTCGAGGTGGCGTTTGGCATGTGGAGGGGAGGTTTAGGAAGCCGATATCTCCGCCTAGGAGTATCGTATTGACAAGCGTTGGTCTGCTTTTACGAGAGCAAAGAATTCTGCTTAATGCAATACCCATGAAATTATTTCTAGACTCGCAGGCAAAGTAGAATAATGTAGTCGTGAAATAGCACTATTTTCCCGTTTTTCCGTTGTACACTCTAGGTATTATCCGCTCTTGATGTAATGTACATATTTCTGATTTGCTCGAATTTGCACATGTCGCTGACTCGTCACCTAATTCCGATCCTTTGCAGCGATATAGTTGTGGTTTGTTGATGATGCACACAGATTCCTTGCGATCAGAGGCTGGTTGTGTCGTGCGTGCTGAAAATTAAACCTCAACAATCTTTGTCAAAGTGATGTTTCTAGAGATATAAGTGAGCGTTGTTATGAAACCAATCCTCGTGTGTATGTCATAGACACGATTGTAAAATCCATTTTCCCTTTGAACATGATAGTAGTATCATATTGACATCTAATAACTGCTGACTGTATTATAAGTTTAGTTTCAATGCGAATATAGAAAGATAAACTGACTAGAATGGGGGGGGGGGGGCAGAAAAATACGAAATACACTGTTTACTAGGATATCATGATCGCTAACAATAGGGTGAAAGTTGGGTTCTATAACGAGTAGATGAAAAATGTAATAAAAAGATGACATTATCATCAGTTTTTAACAATTGGGTGTTACTGGACAAATTGTTGTGTTTCCTATGAGAGTTCTGTGGCTGCACATTTACTAGTAACAAGAAATGCTTATCAATAAGACCAAACTGTGGATTTTCAATTTAGGACCTGTGTTATTGCTATTTGTTGGTGTTTTAAAAAGAGCTATAGTTCTTCTTTGGTTTTCAAATGTGGTGGCTGTCAACAGAAGAACTGATTAGTTCAAATGGGCAGATGACAGTCGAAGTCAAACCTATATGTGTTGATTGTTGACAACCACCGAGCCTTGTGGTAAATAACAGCATGTGGATATGGAATAGGAGTGAGCATCGTAAACGATAAGACAATAGAGTCACGTAAATCTTCACTGACCTGTTTGTGTGTCTTTCTCTCACTTGTGCCTGTTCAAGAAGGGCCTAGGCAAATGTACAGCAAACTGGTGACTGACGCTGGTCACCTGACTAAGGTATCAGTGAGTTTGACGGAGAGAATGGAGTCAACCGTGGGTAGGTACAGGGAATGGACCACACACATCTCACACTTTCCTCTGGTCACCTCAGGTAAAGCCTGTGTACATGCTTACTGTGCGCAGATTCCCAGTGATCAGGTAGATGTGTTTGATACAATCTGTACCTTGACATCCAAAGATTGACGAGCGTCGGGCTGGTTAAGACACTAAGAAAAAGGCAAGGTTTTAATTTCCTGTTTATTTGAAAGGACTGTCTCTGCAAAGGGGCATGTTTGCAGCACGTGTGTGTAAGTGCGCCGTCGCGTTAAGGAGACAAATTCGATAATTCAACATCGTGATGTTTCAGAATGGCTTAAGACGGTGTGCACGCGCCCGCCATCTGGTGGTCCCGTTATCTCGCAGCCGGCTTCACCCTCGTGCGAGCAGCCAGCCAGAAGTACGTTCAATAGCGTCCTGAGTTCCACCGATATGGAAATGATAAGCCATGGGCAGTGCCCGTGTGATGACAAGGCCTGTCTGCCGTGCAGGTGTGTATGTTCGTTCTCTATGTTGATCGTTGAATCTCATGTAAACACCAGTTTCCCAGAAACAACAACCAATCATTAGACTAAAGCCGGGCTTATGTCGGCCTTGCGACGCGACGCGATTGCCTTGCGACTGATTTTCTGCAACTGGTTGCAAGTCGCAGCGAGGATCGCGTCGCCGAGAAAGTTCTACCTAAGCACCCCTGCAACTACCAGCGACTGCTTGCGACTGGAAAATTGTCAGTCGCAACGCGATCGCAGCGAGTCGCACATGTTCTACTCTTGCGACCAGTTGCAGTGACGCGCGACTGGTTCCACCGGTCGCAAGCATTGTTTTCATGGTTACTACCCAACATAAGCTGCCTTGCGATCGCTGCCACGAAATTCGAATGCATAATGAACGATGCATAAAAGCGAACAATGCGAATGAAACAATCAGTGCTACAGTCATATACACAACATGCACACAGCAACAAGTCATGTAAACTCGATCAATAGACGATCGTCGCTTTGACCTAAGCGCATTCTTCCACCTTCTGCGACTGGCTGCGACTGGTCGCAGGCAGTCGCTGTCAGTTGCGTTGCCGTCGACCTAAACACTGCAGCCGCAGTGAATTGCAGTGCGTCGCGTCGCGTCACAAGCAATCGCAACCCGACATAAGCCCGGCTTAACTAGTCCATGTTTGTAAATTGTGATTGCAATTGTTTTCAGGCCACAGGCAAGCCGTTGTGAGTCGACTGCACAAGATGTCGTCACTGAGAATGCTGCTGATATTGAGACGTCTCTTCGGGGGCAACAGGAAACAGGGAGAAGGATTCACTCAGGAAAACACTCTGCGTTCCATACTTACGATTCTCAGAGTATGAGTAGTCCAAAAATAGCAGGATCCCGTGACGAGGCTAGGCAAACTTTTACTGACAATGAGGTTTTGCTGCTGAATTGCACTGCAAATGGAACTGCTGCACCCACGGCTCCAGTGTCATTACAGAAATGTAGTAGTGAAGATGCACTAAGTAAAGTGCCACTTGAGAGTGATTTAGATCCGATACAGCTACAGTTGGAAGCAGGTGTAGAAATAGTGTCAAACAGTGTGCAGGTTAATGACAAGGAATCTACAAGTGATAAATATCGCATAAAATCTACAAGGCAAGCCAAAAGGTCCAAATCGAGCGCAAACGTAGTGAAAGAAGCAAAGCAGCCATCTGAACTACTCGCTCTCGCAGCACGTTCTCCCGACAAACCCGCGTCTCCCTCGGCGACGGAAACCGAGAGTTCGCCGCGGACAGACGAAGGCTTGGAGCTGCAGTGGTTCTCCGCGGGCAATCTCAGCTGGTTGTGTGCGGTGCTGAACCTGATCGTCCACAGCACGATCATCTCGCGCTGCGCCCTCGCCCTCAGCGACGACTTCATCGTGAAGACTCTCGTCGGCGCGTACCAACAAGTGGACGTGCTGATCGGCCGGCGGAAGCTGGCGGTGGCCAGCGTCGACGACGTCGTCGTGAGCGAAGTCGCGAAGATGCTGAGCTCGGCGACGGCAGCGACGATCGCGTATGTGAGGTCCGAGGACAAGGACAAGGAGGAGGAGGACGAGGAGGAGGAGGACGATCTGGTCGAGAACTCGCTCGTAAAGCTGCTCGAGTCGCATCCCTCGCTGGAGCGGCAACTCGCCCACACCAGCCGGTGGCAGTTCGTTTGCGAGAAGTGTGGCCTCAAGCAGTCTAGCAGGTGATCAGCTACTACGTTGTTACATGAGCTTCACTGTTGCGCTCTACCAGCCGAAGGGAAATGCTGAACGAGATGCATAGATGTGATCTATAGTAATATAATAAATGATAGCCATGATTTCATAAGAAACTGAAGATATATTACTCTATAAATATATTCTCTATATTATCTTACTCAGTACATATAATTCTATTCTTATAAGAATTATTATTAATATATAATCATATAATTCTTTAAATTCCATTCATAAAGTGAATACTTATGAAATAGTTCCCAAATATGTTGACTTTTAATGTTAAAATTTGGGTGTCTCTGAGTCTATGGGGTACTCTATTTCAGATTAAACATTCAGATTATTCAGTAGTTCATTCATTTAAAGGCCATTGTAGAGTATATCTTTTAATTTAATCCTTCCTTTAATTTAGCATTGTAAGGTTCCTGTTCTAATGGTGAAACTGTATTTACTTTTAGAACCCAATGCGTAGTGCATAAGATTCCAGGTGTACTCCCAAAATTCCTGAATAGGCAGCCATATTTCAAGTGCTTTTGCATAAAGTGTGGTGTGCCCGAGCAAGAGATGAAGATGACATTTATAGGGTGAGTGAGACATTACAATATATAATGGAGACAATGCATATACAGTGCTCGAAATAAGAAAAAAAAAATTCACAGAGATTACAGCTGAGACATGTGTCTATATTCCTCTAGATTTCTAGAAATGTTAACTCATTCGTTCGGGAGATATGATTTACAGTGCTCGAAATAAGAAAAAAAATGCCGTTGTCCTGCGGACAACCCAGGCATCAAATCGGGTTGTCCGCAACAATTTCGGGTTGTCCCAAAAAATATCCCCAAATCTTCTATTTTCAATCACATAATAATATGATCAGAAAACACCCAAAAACAGTGGCGTAGCCAGGATTTTTTAACAAGGGGGGGGCAAAAACAGCAAACTGCGCAAAATAGTGGATGACTTAATATTTTACTGGCTCCTCCGCCTCCCTCTCCACACCCTACGGCTCCTCTACCTCTCAGCTCTGCAATCTTTGTTTTGGGCGCCATGCGAAAAGGCGACATTTTTGTTCATTGTTCTCTGCTCCCAAGATATGTAATTGTTCAGTGGTGGGTCTAGGATTCCAAGGAGGGGGGTGAAAGACAGGCGGGGGGTATGGGGGTCCTCCCCCAGCAAATTTTGGAAACTTGCTGGTTTGCTGGTTCCAAATCGAGTTCACCTCTCATAAATCAGAAAACCTGACATATACCAGTGTTGGAAATAGCAGCTGGTCCCATATTTTTATGTTATTCACGATTTAATTCACGATTAAGATTTCTTGATGAGCTAGAAAACACTTGGATTTGAAGTATGAAACTGAACATTATTGTGCCAGCTAGCCTACACTAGTTGGTTGGGATTGATTGTCAGTTCAGATGCAAAATATTGAAAGCAAAAGGCTATACACCATAGATTAATTGGGTACCACGCGTATATAAGATAGACGAGTCGGTTTAGAGTTAGTGTTAGGGTTAGGGATAGGGATAGGGTTTCTTGGTTGTCCACCGGACAATGTCTCAGACTGGTTAGGTTGTCCGGTGCAAATTCTGGTTGTCTCGGACAACCGGACAACGCTTATTTCGAGCACTGATATACAATATATTTCATGTGAAAAATGCATCATGATAAAAATAATCCTCATTGGGTCCATTTATTTGCTGATATTATAAGGAAGTGGTCTGGCATTTGTCATTCCGTTTATTAATATACTTTGTTTTTGTTTTTTTGTTTTTCAGATCACCCAGATGCCTACTACTTGGTTTGGGAGCTGGCATGGATTCGTGTGACCCTGGCCACTACACGTTCAGACAGAATGGCATTGATTATACCTTAGGTGCTATTGTAACGAGAGAACGTAGCAGCTGTACAACATGGATATTCCAGGGTAAGAAATGCACAAGATTATTTGTCGCAGCGTAGCCAGTAGCCAATTTCCTTCTGTAGTAATGTTTGTGTGTGTGAGATCTTAAAAATAGAGCAAATATAGTTATAACTATGTATACTATGAGTAGCAAGGTCAATCTCAAATAATGTACTACACTGTATGTGTAGTATTTCATTGAGTGAGCCATTAGAATGTTCACATATATGCATATGACACAGTATTTTTATGTAAAATCATTTGTGACACAATAGGATCAGGCCTAAAATCACTTACTACATTCATTCTGTTATTTCAGATGGAAGCTGGTTAAAGTGTAATGGTCGCAACCTGGTAGCTAAGCGTACGACCGTCGCAGACTTTTCTGTTGCCCCTTCAAACGTCTGTCTGGCAGTCTGGGACGGTAACAGCAGCGAGTCCGCAGACGTAAACGTCGGTGCGAATAGTCTCGCCGACTGTAGAGGTGCCCAGGAGGATGGCGTCAGCATTGCTAAGCCCGAGTCCCTCCCCCGCACATTCAGGAAGCCAGAGGTGCACTTGTTGGCCAAGAGCGCCGTGCCGACGTACGGCCGTGCCGATGGGACCGGGTCTGCTGCCGGCACGCCGAGGTCAGCGGCGAGCCTCGAGAGCTTCTTGGACGAGGCTTACGAGTCGTGCAGCGACAACTCCGATTTGCTGAATGCCGACGGAAAGCAGCAGCAGCAGCAGCAGCGCTTGCCCTGCGTAAACTACGTCGGCGTCCCGCGTCCGACGGCCGGCCCGCCCGCCGTAGAGACGCGGAGTCGTGATACGTTGCTGACTGCTGTCGCAACGTCTTCCGCCAACTCGTTTGCGCCTATAACGTGTACGCGAGTCGCACGGGGCCGCGCAGATTACACACGCAGCGCCAAGGGTGCAGCAGCCACTGTGTGCAGAGTGCCACAGCCGGGTAAGTCTGCTAGTGAATCGGTCGGACATGTGCAGCTGAATTCATCGCATAGCAGGCAACGACTGACATGTACCCCAGCAACTGCGAGCAGGAGTGGTGGAAGCAGCACGTGTTCCAGCCTCAGTTCCCATGACAGCCAAGGGTTGTCGTTGCCAGTGTCCGGGAGACCTAACCTCAGAACACAGAAATCAGACGGGGCAGCGAAAAAGTCAAGTGCACAATCAGTTAGTTCACAGGCCATTGCCGCAGTTGTCAGTAGGGCCAATATTCTCACACGAGGTACCAAGAGAACGAGTTCCGGTAGTGTGTCATCGTCCACTAGGCAGGCCTGTGGTTCCAACAACCGGAGAGAAGCAAAACGACAGTTTCCGTCTTTCACAGTCAGCCCAGCTGCAAGTGAACGAAGCAGCAGCTCTGACAAGGATACTGTGGTTCAACTGCTGAGGAGGTTGCAGGAGAAGAGGGTAACAAGGTGCGAAGTCGCATCGCAGCCATCGTCCACTCTGTCCTCTAATCTCACCTTTGATGAGAACGACAAGCTTAACTACATGCAGCTTCTGAAGGAGAAGGTGATTGCCAAGCGAATGCAAAATCCTAGCAACACTTTCCAGGGTTACACTCCCAAAGCGGCTCTAAATGTCAAGACACCAGTTGGTAAGCCAAAGAGAAAAAGAGGACAACCGCCAAAGGGGAGATCTGTAACTATTACGCCTACTCAAATTTGCGGCAGTGGGTCACTAAGGAAAGCAAATAGTACCCAGGATGACGCTAGCTGTGCCTCAACTGCTTCGTTGCCATCTTCTTATCTACCACCTTTCAAGAAGGCTGACAGCTCTATTGACGACATCTTGACGTCCACCATGGATGAAGACTCATCAGCAGCAGACAAGGGGCAGATAGAGAAGATCATGCAGGAATTAATGGACATACCCGGTTTACCAGATCCTGACGAGGGTGCACAGACGAAGGAAACAAATGCTCTAACTCACCACTCCACGTTAGCAAGTCAGAGCAACGAGAGTTGCACACAAGCAGTCGGGGTTGATGGCAGCTGCGACACCGGTATGGCACAGCTAAGTCAGGAATTGGCCGATCTCATGGAAACTGATGAACTGGGTACAGTTGACTACAACAGCTTTTCAATTGAGCCTACATTTCTCGATGGACTACTGTGATATAGAGTTTAACAATCACTGCTTTACCATGTTATCATGTCTTGTGGCTGTGAACTATCATGTGACCCCTGTGAGATTTTCTCGTAATTGATAAATTTGTACTTAATAATAATCATTTAAGTGCTTTTCTTAATGGTATATACTATTTTCTACTAGTTTCATACAGCACTTATACTGTCATACTGTCAAACCAAAGCATGTAAATAAGTGATCAAGTTACGAGTAGATAACCAATGCAAGATAATTAATAAGTTAAGTAATTGACCTGTAAAATTACGTTTAGGATGATTTTATGTGGTCGTCCCAATAGTATTGGATATTATTGGTATCGTTCTTAGGCGCTCTCACAATTATGTGTTAGTACTCGTTGGCACTAACAAAATTTTTGTAAGTGAAAGCAAATTTTTATTGGCTATAATTACTAACAGAATTTTTGCCTGTGCACTTGAAATTTGGTTTAATGAATCATTTAATATAATTTACTTGCAACAAACCCATTAATGTGTAGATTCGTGTGTGTGTCATGACTAGTAGTCACATGTGTAATACGTTTTTTCCTAAAAACAAAACAATGCAGTAAATGCTCAATTCTGTTACACCACTGTTTTTCATGTAATGCGTTTTCACATGCAATGTCTTCAATGGCATAGTAGAACAAATAAATTATTTAAACAAGAGCCGCAGAGCGTCTGGGCTCATCTGAGGTCTGTTGCTACGATTATAAACGTAAAATTTCAGTCGTGCGTAGTACCACATTTGTTAGGCGCAGATATGCAG